TTTGTTTTGGGAAGAAGAAAGTAATTTAAGGTTTTTCTCATGTGAAAGTTGAAAGAGTGGGAAGAGGCCAAAGGGAAAATCCAAAAAGTATAACATATACTGTGTTTTGACAAATGGGGAAATAGTGTGTGAAATATTTGAACTGTAGAGCCTATAAATATTTGATGCTTATGATGCCTGTCAGTTCTGACAATAACTATGATATATTAGCTTGTTCCTGCCTCTGACAATGATCAAGATTGTTTTCTCATCCTTCCACCCCCCTATACATCTTATAAACACAGCCAGAGAGTAAATGCATATACAATGCTTTTTTTAATACAATTGTGCACGAAACAAAGGGTGTGTACATTGAGCCATCAGAAAGAAAATTACTCATTTTTTTTCAGCCACCCACACAGGTAATTTTGGAAGGTTTCAGAATGATGGATAAGAAATATCAAAGATACCATAACTTGTGATTTGGAAGCAACGCTTTGACCATCTCTTTTCCAAGCTAAAACATCCCCAGCTCCCATAGCCGCTTCTCGGGGGGATTCGTAATTTTAAGTAAGGAATTGAAACCTTAATTGTTTTATTGGTTTTTCCCACTCCCACCCTCCCCTCCTTGTACATGCCATTTATATATCGAACTACAGAAGTTACATTTGAAATATCAGTCTCAGTCTTAATTTTTCTACTCCACATCATAACACATTCTCTAAATAATTCCTAACTGGTTCCCACATCCTCTTAGTTATTGTAACCTTTTCAATTTTATCTATATTATTCCATTTGCAATTTGTTATTTCCACATTTAACATATTAACTATATAGTTATTAGGCCTGGGTAACCACGGAAAAATTTGGTTCTAAACTCATTTCGTTTTTAGGGGGCCCTTGCGTTTCGTTTTTTTTAATAATTCCGAAATTTTCCTTTAAAAAATTCAAAATTTATGAAATTTCGTAAAATTACGAATCGATTCGTTAATGGCGGACGAGATTGCGCAATATGCTAAAAAAAACCTCCAAATGGGACAGGAGGAACTTCTGAAGCTTCCCTCTCCCTCTGTTGTTGACTGTTGGTGTGATAAAACAAACAACAACTATAAAACTTGCACCAGACATGCGAAAATAATTACAAAATAATTACGAAATAGTTTCGAAATAATTTCGAAATAATTACGAAATAATTACGAAATAAATTGAAAAAATTGTTTCGAATCTTTATTACTCCTCACACAATTCCTGCATGGCTCAATATTGGATCGTAAGCTAATTTAAATACGAATTAATAATGAATTACGAAATTAACGAACGAAACCGCCCAAGCCTAATAGTTATACCAATTAATCAGCGTCCATTTTGTTTTGTCTTTCCAACCCCTCACTGAAACAATTTGTGCACACGCGATTAATTTGTCAACCAATTTTTCCTTTTGTATATTCTTCACTCCTGCTATCCGTGCATGTAGTATATTTCTATTAATTATTACTATTTGTAAATTTAACATTTTATTGATTTCCCCTTCAATCCTTTTCCAGTATTCTTGCACTTGATCCCATTCCCATATCATATGATTAAACACCCTTCTTTGTTCACAGCCATGCCAACACCTCTCCTTGATCCCTGGTACAAAGCGTGAAAGTTGTGCAGGAGTTCTGTACCATTTTTGTAACATTTTCCTTCTTGCTTCCCTTAATACATTATACTTTTCTTTTGCTATATTACTTATTTCCCTTTGGATGTCTTCCCTCTCAATTTCCATGTCCATTCTCCATGTTTGGAAAATTTCCTCTATTATTTCTTCTTTTACTGTTATAATTTGGTCGTACAGATCTCCTGCCACTTTCTTCTCCCCTCTCAAACATTTCCTAATCACCTTCTCAAATGGACTATCCTGTTCTCTAATTTTCCCCCTCCGTCTAAAAATTTCCTGTCTTATAGCCCAGCTTTGAATCCAATTCCCTGACCCTATCCAATTCTGAATTTCTTTTTGTTCTATGGGGTTTCCATCCTCTGTATATAGATCCTCTACTAACCTTTTAGTAGGGAATTGAAACCAGATCTATTCCTATTCTATTCTATTCTATTCTATTCTATTCTATTCTATTCTAGCCTGGTTGCAGCTAAACATCAAAAAAACCAAGATTATGGCAACAAGAATGATTGACAACTGGGAAATAGAGGGAGAAAATGTGGAGGCCGTGACAGACTTTGTATTTCTAGGTGCAAAGATGACTGCAGATGCAGACTGTGGCCAGGAAATCAGAAGACGCTTCCTTCTTGGGAGGAGAGCAATGTCCAATCTCGATAAAATAGTAAAGAGTAGAGACATCAGACTGGCAACAAAGATCCATTGCCTAGTCAAAGCCATGGTATTCCCTGTAGTCACCTACGGATGTGAGAGCTGGACTTTAGGGAAGGCTGAGCGAAGGAAGATAGATGCTTTTGAGCTGTGGTGTTGGAGGAAAGTTCTGAGAGTGCCTTGGACTGCGAGAAGATCCAACCAGTCCATCCTCCAGGAATAAAGCCCGACTGCTCATTGGAGGGAAGGATACTAGAGACAAAGTTGAAGTACTTTGGCCACATCATGAGGAGACAGCAAAGCCTAGAGAAGACAATTATGCTGGGGAAGGTGGAAGGCAAAAGGAAGAGGGGCCGACCAAGGGCAAGATGGATGGATGGCATCCTTGAAGTGACTGGACTGACCTTGAAGGAGCTGGGGGTGGTGACGGCCAACAGGGAGCTCTGGCTGGGCTGGTCCATGAGGTCACGAAGAGTCGGAGACGACTGAACGAATGAACAACAACTATTCCTTCTCCAAGTGTTCTGGCTCTCCTAGAATTGCAGGGGGAGATAGCTCAATTTCGCAGATCCTCCAGGTTAGCAGAGAAATGAACTATCAGTAGCCAACACCTGAGTAACTAGTATGAAATATGCTCAAGAGTAGTAGTACCTTGTTGCTGGCAGCAACGTCAGCATTTGGAGCTGTGACCTCAGGCTGTTGATGATCTTTGGACTGTGGCATTTGGATTTTTGGATTAATCCTTGACTCTAGAGCAGGCATGGGCAAACTTCGGGCCTCTGGGTGTTTTGGACTTCAACTTCTACAATTCCTAACAGCCGGAATATTGTTATGAATTGTGAGAGTTGAAGTCCAAAACACCTGGAGGGTGAAAGTTTGCCCATGCCTGCTCTAAAGGCAAGGATAGGCAACTAAGAAGGGGCCATTTCTCCCTTATGACCCCGCTGTCCCAGAAGCCATATTGGCTTCATTGATTCTCCCTAGGTGATTGCATGTAGGGGCTGATTCATGAAGCCGACTCTCAATAGGATTGTCAATATGGCAAAGGCCAATTTTTTTCATATGAGATACGTATCTTCTTAAATTTCATTCTGTAATGCAAGAAAGAATAGAATCATGGAGCAAAAGGGACCACAGAGGACCTCAACTTTAGGCCTGGGTAACAACGCAAAAATTTGTTTCTAAAATCGATTTGTATTTGGGGGGTTTTTTTGTTTCGATATTTAAAATAATTACAAAATTTTCCTTTTAAAAAGTTCGATATTTACAAAATTTCGTAAATGTGAAAAAAATTACAAAACATTAACGAATCGATTTCCGAAACAATAACGAATCGATTCGTTAATGGCGGACGCGACCGTGAAATACGCTAAAAAACCTCCAAAAACTTCTGAAGCTTCCCTCTCCCTCTGTTGTTGACTGTTGGTGTGATATTATAATTTTTTTTCACTAATTAAACAAAAAACTTGCCCCAGACATGAGGAAATAATAACGAAACGACCTCAGAACAATAACGAAACGAATACAATAACGAAATACGAAGCATTTACAAAACGTGTTTAAAAATTCGTTTTTTTAAAAAATTGCTCCAGAATGGTTCGTTATCATTTTGTAATTGAAAAAATTAACGAATTATTAACAAATTACGAATTAACGAAACGAAACCGCCCAGCCCTACTCAACTTCCATTGTTGTATCATTTTCCTCCGAATTACAGAAAAATCATTGAAATTTTCTCATTATTTGAAAACTATTCAGGATCAGAGCATATTCTCCAAAAAAGCGCACCATGCCTTGAGGTCTTCACAAAGGGGCGTTTTTGCTCAGGTATGTACTTGGTGGTGTATTCTGCAGAGAAAATGCCTTTCCTTTCCTGCACAAAAAAAACCCCTCAAATGCATTTTTTCAGAGGAAGTCGCATCTATAGGATATATCCCATGCCAGCTTTTCTGGATACTTGGCAAAACCACTACGCCTCTGAGATTCAAATATTTTGGAACATCCTTTCCGTCTTACGCAAGAGATATCCTATGCCAATTAAGAGTCAAATCTTGGGTGGCGCAATCTTTTAAGGCATTGTTTCTAAACCTTCCTAATGCCGCCACCCCTTAATACAGTTCCTCATGTTGTGGTGACCCCCAACCATAACATTATTTCGGTTGCTGCTTCGTGACTGTAATTTTGCTACTGTTATCAATTGTAATGCAAATATCTGATATGCAGGATGCATTTTCATACACTGGACCAAATTTGGCACAAATACCCAATACAATGGTGGAATTTGGGGAAAATAAACCTTAACATTTTGGAGTTGTAGCTACTGGGATTTATAGTTCATCTACAATCAAAAAGCATTTTGAACTCCACCAAAGATGGAATTGGACCAAACTTGGCACACAGAACTCCCATGACCAACAGAAAATAGAGGAAGGGTTTGGTGGGCTCAGGGCTCTCTTGTAAACTCCATTTAGACCCAAGTGACCCACTCTGCCCCAAACAGGCTGATATACAACACTTGGACTGGACCTTTTGCATTACACACCACCCTGCTAGTCATTATCCTGTTTTGCTCAACCCCAACTACTAAGCATGACACCAACCACCACCAACTACGGGACATTACAAATTGTAACCATTAAGCATATGTAGAAAATCATGCAAAGAAGATACAGAAATGGCTAGACTGGAGAAACAGTTGTTTCCCTTCCACTATTTAGATGGAGACGCTGTTCTCGGTCTCTGCAGGATTCATATACTTGTATCCGAGAGGGACCGGTCCCCCCATGTTGGCCATGGACTTGTTCCTCTGCTCAATTTCCTTGGAAAGATTCTTCAGTTCTCCTTGGAAGGTAGCAATGAGTTTCTTAGGTGCCTCTTCTGTGAAATGCTGCTCCGGGTAATTGCCCAGCAGCACCTGGTAGTGGAAAGATTAGAAAATAGGCAATGAGAAGAAGAAAAACACATTGGAGAAATGTAGAAGAGCTATAACTACACAATGGAGCCCCCGGTGGCGCAGGGGGTTAAAGCACTGAACTGCTGAGCTTGTTGACCGAAAGGTTGCAGGTTCAACTCCGGGGAGTGGCGTGAGCTTCCGTTGTCAGCCCCAGCTTCTGCCAACCTAGCAGTTCGAAAACATGCAAATGTGAGTAGATCAATAGGTACCGCTCCGGCGGGAAGGTAACGGCGCTCCATGCAGTCATGCCGGCCACATGACCTTGGAGGTGTCTACGGACAATGCCGGCTCTTCGGCTTAGAAATGGAGATGAGCACCACACCCCAGAGTCAGACATGACTGGACTTAATGTCAGGGGGAAACCTTTACCCTATAACTACACAGTTCTTGTAAAGGAACTCAATTAAAAAAGGAAGCGTAGTCATTGTTCCCTATTTGCTGGGGCCGATGTAATACGACCTCTATAAAAGTGGTAAAACTGTGAATAAGTTGGGTTGTTGTAGGTTTTCCGAGCTATATGGCCATGTTCTAGAGGCATTTTCTCCTGATGTTTCGCCTGCATCTATGGCAAGCATCCTCAGCGTAACTCTGAGGATGCTTGCCATAGATGCAGGCGAAACGTCAGGAGAGAATGCCTCTAGAACATGGCCATATAGCCCGAAAAACTACTACAACCCAGCGATTCCGGCCATGAAAGCCTTCGACAATACATGTGAATAAGTTGCTTTCTTAATGCTGTATAGCTTTAAATAGGAGCCTCGGTGGCACAATGGGTTCAACCCTTGTGCTGCTGAACTGCTGACCTGAAGGTTGGATGAACTGCTGGCCTGAAGGTCAGCAGTTCGATCCAGGAGAGACGGGGTGAACTTCCATTTGTCAGCTCCAGTTCCTGCCAACCTAGCAGTTTGAAAACAGGTAATAGGTACCACTTTTGTGGGAAATGGCAAAGAGACACTCCAAGGAATCTTGTAGGGCACACAACAAGAAGGTGACAATGTAGGTTCCTTGAAAAATGAAGAAGAGGACCTCCCCAGAGCCAGAGATGAAGCACCACCTCCAGAAGCCGGAAATGAAAGGAGAAGCTTCTGCCTTTGTAAAGGCATTGAATGTTTGCCTATGTATGTAAATGCTGTAATCTGCTATGAGTTATAAGGTCCTTACATTCTAACTCAGGCATGGGCAAACTTTGGCCCTCCTCCAGGTGTTTTGGACTCCAACTCCCATCGGTAGGCGGTTAGGAATTGTGGGAGTTGAAGTCCAAAACACCTGGAGGAGGGCCAAAGTTTGCCCAAGCCTGTTCTAACTCCTTGGCTTACTTTTCTCTTGATCCTAGATCTCAATCCAGCCCTCGGTCCTCTCCCTGAGTACTCACCACGTCTTCTGGAGGGGCACTGAGCAGCCACAGGGTGCTGAGCATCTTGCACGTGGTACTGATGTCTGGGACTACATCTTTGTACTCCTGTAAGGTTGTGGTGCCCTTGATGGTCGGAGGGGGTTTCCTCATCGAAGACGGGAAGTTGGGCATCCAGGAGCCAAAATCAAACTATCCAAAATACAAACAGGAAGACTGTGACATATAGTTACTGGTTGGTGTGGACAAAATACATCTCAAATTTCGGATTATTGATGTCGCCATACCAGGTGACAGTCGCATTGAGGAAAAACAACAAGAAAAACTCAGCCGTTATCAGGACCTCAAAATCGAACTGTAAAGACTCTGGCATCAACCAGTACAGGTGGTCCCAGTGGTCATCGGCACAGTGGGTGCCGTGCCAAAAGATCTCAGCCGGCATTTGAAAACAATAAACATCGACAAAATCACGATCTGTCAACTGCAAAAGGCCACTTTACTTGGATCTGCGCACATCATTCGAAAATACACCACACAGTCCTAGACGCTTGGGAAGTGTTCGACTTGTGATTTTGTGATACGAAATCCAGCATATAGATCTCGTTTGCTGTGACATACTGTGTTTTCATGTCAGTAAAATAATAATAATATATTATTATTAATTATTATTATTTTATTATTAATATATTATTGTGTTGATTTATACTCTGCTTTTTCCCTCCACAAAGGAGACCCAAGGGGTGCATCTGCACTGTAGAATTAATGCAGTTTAACATCACTTTAACTGCTCCGCCAAAATGGTTGGATATTGCTAATTAATTGGATGATCTGTTGCAGAGCCTGAAAAACATTTCTCTTTTAAACTACAACTTCCAAAATCATCCAATCAGCATTCTCACTGAGTTGCTGTGAGTTTTCCAGGCTGTCTGGCCATGTTCCAGAAGCATTCGCTCCTGACGTTTCACCCACATCTACAGCAGGCATCCTCAGAGGTTGTGAGGTCTGTTGGAAACTAGGTAAGTGGGATTTAAAGATCTGTGGGATGTTCAGGGTGGCAGAAAAGACTCTTGTCTGTTTGAGACAAGTGTGAATCTTGCAATTAGCCACCTTGATTAGCTTTGAATGGCCTTGCTGCTTCAAAGCCTGGCTACTTCCTGCCTGGGGGAATCTTTTGTTAGGAGGTGTTTCATGTCTGGAATTCCCTTGTTTTCTGAGTGTTGTTGTTTATTTACTATCCTGACTATTGTTCTCACTGTTTGGAGATTTTGGGGATTGTACTGCAAGAACAGAAACCTTTATCTGGTCTAGGGATGATTCCTAGGGCAACGTCAGCATCCTCTCTGTAGTCTAGCTCACATTATTCTTTGGGGGAGATGCCATGATGGCTAAAAATGATTTAAAATAAAATACAGATGTAATGTATAATGTATATTAAGACATGTTTGGGGCAAGGGCATCCTTCCTCTTACCTGCCCACTGTTGACCGCTGAATGCTGACCCGAACAGGTAAAAATTACAATCGTCATGAACTTTTTCAGCTGTTGCACAGAAGTGAATGAGGAAGAGATTCCTGCAAAAGGAAGAAAAGGTGCAAATTCACTATAGAAATCAAGCAAGGAGTCCTCACAATGTTGTAAACCGAGGAAATACATTATAATAATCCACTTTATTTATATTCCACTTTATCTCCATGGAAGGACTCAGAGCGGATTACAATACACATGTGAGGCAAACATTCAATGCCTTTTGCACACAGTGAACAACAACAACATGCAACACAGGCAAGGCTAAAGGCCTTCCCATTTTTCCATCTCCGGTGTCTCAACTCCGGCCATGGAGAGGTGCTCTTGTTCCATTACTCCTTGCCGAGGAGCCTGTTGTCCATAGACATTTCTGATTGTGTTGCTGCATGTCTACATATCTGCATGGGGTACCTATTGATCTACTCACATTGCATGCTTTCAAATTGCTAGGTTGGCAGGAGCTAGGACTGACAATTGAGAGCTCACCCCAGCTTGCAGGTTCAAACTGCCAACCTTTCAATGAGCAGATTTCCTACAGCTAGTGGTTTAACCCGCTGAGCTACCACAGCCCCTTCCAAGGGGTAGATTCTCTCACTTCCTGTTGTCTTGCTCTTGTTCTTAACTATGAGTTGTATGTAAGTCAGATGTTTGCATCTCGGGGACTGTCTGTATATATCTGGACCTCCAAGTCATAAAGACCATCTCTACACAATGAAGGATCTGTGGATGTCTTTCTGCCTTCTGGGCTTCCAAAAGTCAACCGGCAGTTGTTCATCCATTATTTATTCTATTATTTTATTTCCGGTATCTATATTCCACCCTTCTCACCCTGAAGGGGACTCAGAGTAGATCACAGGACACATACAAACATTTAATCCCGTTATACGCTGATAAGACAGACAACTGGACATAGATAAAGGTGTCTATAGGCTTTCCCATCTTCAGCATCTTGGAGGCTGTGCTCTGTTCCAGCCACCAGGGGGTGCTGTTGCTTCACTTTTCCCTACCAAAAAGCTCCGTTCGTAAACTTCCTCATTGATCGAATTGCTGGCATTTTTTCTGGCATTTCCTTATGGGTGCCTTAAATACCCCCTCCCCCTGTTTAAGCGGTACCTATTTATCTACTCACATTACTGTTTTCAAAACTGCTAGGTAGGCAGAAGCTGGGCTAAAGGCCAGGAGCTCATCCTGACCTGGGCTTCGAACTGTCAACCTTTCGGTTGGCAAGATTTACTGCTCTGAATCCTGAGAAGGGCGAAATATAGGTAAAGATTTTCCCCTGACATTAAGTCCAGTCATATCAGACTCTGGGGTGTGGTTCTCATCTCCATTTCTAAGCCAAAGAGCCGGCGTTGTCCGTAGACACCACCAAGGTCATGTGGTTGGCATGACTGCATGGAGCGCCATTACCTTTCTGCCGGAGCGGTACCTATTGATCTACTCACATTTGCATGTTTTCAAACTGCTAGGTTGGCAGAAATATAAATACTGTAAATAAATAAATAAATAAATAACAACAGTGGGTGCCTTTATAAACTGATTGCAGAAAGGTTGATATATACATAACAACAACACTGGGGTTCCTTATATAACCGATTACAGATGCTTCTCATGACCACATAATGAGAAGACAGGAAAGCTTAGAGAAGACAATGATGCTGGGGAAAATGGAAGGAAAAAGGAAGAGGGGCCGACCAAGGGCAAGATGGATGGATAGGATCCTTGAAGTGACTGGATTGACCTTGAAGGAGCTGGGGGTGGTGACGACCGACAGGGAGCTCGAGCATGGGCTGGTTCATGAGGTCACAAAGAGTCAGAAGTAACTAAACGAATGAACAACAACTCATGGCTATAGGAAGTTGGCAACCAGATAAGGAGAGGCAGCCATACCAGAAGACTCCTGCGCCAGAAAACCTTTCTCAAAGACCTCCTTCATCCATTTCTGCAGCTCAGAATCTTCCTGCACAGCATTATCAGTCGGATAATACAAGTCGATGATGCCAGAGACATATCTAAGAGAAGAAGAGCCAAAGAAGAGGACAGTCAGGATGGAGTCCACCAGCAGCCCTTGATCTCTCACCTCTTCAGATGCTCCTGCAAGAGTCCTCAAGTCCAACAGATTTGGCTGCTTTGAGTTCCAATTTGGTGGAAAGTGGAATACAGATAAGATCCCATGACCTCAGGACCCATATCTATGCTTTCCCTTACCCAAGAGACAAAAATGTCTCACTAGGAATTTCCCAGGTCTTCCAAGCAATCCTATGGTATTGTTGCAACCCAGAGCAGGAAACGGGACCCTAATACAACAATCCACCACACTTGACTTCAGGAAAAAACAATCCTTTTTTATTGATGAAAGATGAGTACAAAAAAAAAGGAAAAATGCAAGGTAAAAAGCCACAGTAAAAAACAGCAACAAGAACTGTCCATGAACAAAATCAAAAACCCACAGTAACACTGCTAAATCCTGGAACCTGTTAGCAATCCACTAACCATATTTGAAGCATTAGAAAAACTCCTTGGAACAAAGCCACGGGAAGCAGGAGAACTGCAAGAGCCTGCACATGAATCTGAAACGATGCCTGGACTAAATGGGCATCCAGACCAAGTGTTTTTAAAGCATAGAAATCTATTTCGTGACATGCCTGAAGGTCGTGTTTGCATTTCTCTTAATCTAGCTGACCTCAGTAAACTCTGCGCTTTGCCTCTGCTTTGCCAAATCTGCCCCCGTCTATCCTCGTTAGAGGGACCAGGTGTCAGATTATCTGGAGAGCTAGAAGGGAGTGAAAATTCAATGCTTGGCTCTGAATCATTCTCATGGGAATTTGGACTTTCGCTTTCCAAAGCAGCAGGATTTTCACTACACAAACCGTCATCTTCTACATTGACCTCAGAATCATTAACATCAGGAAATACAATCAGAGAGTCAGGTACAGGTTCACACACAGGCTGAACCCCAACAGGTATGCCTCTGTTGGAAGTTTCTATGGAGTTGTGTTAGAGATTGCTCCAAAAAAATCTCTAGGTTCCACAACTCTATGAAACACTGGGACAGAAATCAGATAATTTAATGGCACTCAGTCATATCTGCAGTTTTAGGTCACCACCACCACATTCTAGCCATATGCAGGGTTATTTCTCTAATAAAACCTGCAGAAATCCCATCCCATGTCCCCCATCTGACCTTAGAATGACTGCCCAGAGCTTCATGCCATCCTCCTTGTAGTAGTAATGGGGCAGCGAGGATACCCCGCGGGCTTCCAGATCCTCCGGAAGGCAGAGAGAAGTCAAGGTCAATTCTTTGGTTCCTTTCTGCAATGTTTTCACCATGCCCTCGTAACCAATAGCAGTTTGCTACAATGGCAAGAGGTAGAAAGAAAATCAGAGATATGGTCTGGATTTGACAGCAATAATGTTTGGATTTGGGAGAGATATGGCTTGGATTTGATAGAGACATGGCTTGGATTTGGGAGATATGTGGCTAGGAATTTGGGAGAGATATGACTTAGATTTGGGAGTGATGTGGCTTGAATTTGGGAGATATATGGCTTGGATATGGGAGAGATGTGTCTTGGATTTGATAGAGATATAGTTTGGATTTGGGTGAGATATGGCTTGGATTTGGGAGGGATGTGGCTTGGATTTGGAAAAGATGTGGCTTGGATTTGGGAGAGATATGGCGTGGATTTAGGAGAGATATGGCTTGGAATTTGTGAGAGTTATGGCTTGGATTTGGAAAAGATGTGGCTTGGATTTGGGAGAGATATGGCTTGGATTTGGGAGAGATGTGGCTTGGATTTGGGAGAGATGTGGCTTGGATTTTGAGAGACATGGCTTGGAATTTGGGAGAGATATGGCTTGAAATTTGGGAAAGATATGACTTGGAATTGGGAGAGATATGGCTTGGAACTGGGAGAGATATGGCTTGGAATTGGGAGAGATATGACTTAGATTTGGGAGAGATGTGGCTTGGATTTGGGAGAGATATGGCTTGGGTTTGGGAGAGATATGACTTGGATTTGGGAGAGATATGACTTAGATTTGGGAGAGATATAGCTTGGATTTGGGAGACATATGACTTGGATTTGGGAGAGATATGACTTAGATTTGGGAGAGATGTGGCTTGGATTTGGGAGAGATATGGCTTGAATTTGATAGAGATATGGCTTAGATTCAATAGAGATATGACTTGGATTTTATACTTTGGTTGTTATCTCTCTCCCTCCCCACTCTTGAATCTTGGGAGCTATAGTTTAAGGATGTGCTTAGAAGCTTCCATACTCTTCTGAACTACAGCATTAGATGTGCAGTATTCTCCATAACGCCCAACACAATAAATCCTAGGACTCCATAAGACATAGTATGAAAGTGCTAACTTTGGGAGATGTGGCAGATCCAATGGAGGTGAAAATCCATTTACCTCTTCAAAGATCCCTCCTTTGGAAATGAGGGTCTCCCGGGCCAAGGTGTTGATGTGAAAGGTGTAGCGCATGTGGGGAATCAGGAGCTGTGGAAGCCAAAAGTTAGAAATAAGATAAATCCCATGGTTCCATTTTAACCCCAGGCTTTGACCAAGAGAGGTCAAAATCTGCAGCAAACATTCACAAATACACACAATCTTGCAACCTAAAACTCACCTCACTTTCTATCCCTATGATAATTGGATTTTGAAAAATATGGCTTGTTGTGGAAATTGGAGAGAAAGCTCCTCTGGAGATACCTTAACATGTTAATTCTTCCAGGAGTTGAATTTCCCTTCAAGTGGTGTACATTTATTTACTTACTTACTTACTTACTTAGTTCACTTGTATACCGCTTTTCCCACCTCAGTGGGAGACTCAAAGCGGTTTATGGCAAAATGCAATGCCTCACATACAACAATATATAACAATATAACAATAACAATAGTATACAATATAATATAACAATAGTAACATACAATTATCAATTATATTATAAAACACGACATCATTTAACATTAAAAACATATCAATATAAACATTAAAATCACACAATCCAACAATCATAGTCCAGGGCCATTCCAAATACCATATCCTTATCATTCCTTGTACTGCTTACTGCCCAAAGGCTTGTTCCCATAGCCAAGTTTGTACTTTGTTTCGGAAGGCCAGGAGGGAAAGCACTGATCTAATTTTGTTGTGGAGCAAGTTCCATAGTCAAGGAGCCACCACTGAGAAGGCCCTGTCTCTCGTCCCCACCAATCGCACTTAGGAGGGAGGTGGAACTGAGAGCAGGGCCTCCCCAGATGATTTTAATCTCTGAGATGGTTCATAGAGGGAGATACGTCTGGCCAGGTAAGTGGGTCCGAACTGTTTAGAGCAGTAGTTCTCAACCTTGCTAATGCCGTGACCCCTTAATGCAGTCCCTCATGTTGTGATGACCCCCAACCATAATATTGTTTTCATTGCTACTTCATAACAGTCATTTTCCTACTGTTATAAATCATAGTGTAAATATCTGATATGCAGGATGCATTTTCATTCACTGGACCAAACTGGGCACAAATACCCAATACACCCAAATGTGAATGGTAGTGGGGTTGGGGGAGGACTGATTTTGTAATTTGGGAGTTGTAGTTGCTGGGATTTATAGTTCACTTCTAATCAAAGAGCATTTTGAACTCCACCAACGATGGATTTGAACCAAACTTGGCTCCCATGACCAATGGAAAACACTGGAAGGGTTTGATGGGTATTAACCTTGAGTTTGGGAGTTGTAGTTCACCTATACCCAGAGAGCACTGTGGAATCATGCAATGGTGGATCTGGACCAAACTTGGCACGAATACTCAATATTCCCAAATGTGAACACTGGTGGAGTCTGGGGAAAATAGATCTTGACATTTGGGAGTTGTAGTTGCTGGGATTTATAGTTCATTACAATCAAAGAACACTCTGAACTCCGCCAACGATATAATTGGCTCAAACTTCCCACACAGAATCCCTATGACCATCAGAAAATACTGTGTTTTCTTATGGTCCTTGGTGACCCCTCTGACATCCCCTCGCGACCCCCTTGGGGGTCCCGACCCCCAGGTTGAGAAACACTGGTTTAGAGCTTTACAGGCTAAAGCCAGCCCTTTGAATTGTGCTCAGTAGCAGACTGGCTGTCAGTGGAGCTGGAGTAATAGCGGGTTTGTATGCTCCCTGTATCCCACTCCAGTGAATAAACTGGCTCCCACATGTTGGACTAGTTGAAGCTACTGAACAGTCTTAAAAGGCTATCCCATGTGCAGTGCGTTGCAGTAGTCTATTGGGTGATGTAACCAGAGAATGGACTATCGTGGCCAAGTCTGGCTTCCCAAATTCAGACTTGCAAAGATACAGAGTGGGGGACAATGCCTGGCTCAAGAGCAGTACATGTGGAAAAGATCTTGGAGTCCTCATGGACAACAAGTTAAATATGAGCCAACAATGTGATGCGGCGGCAAAAAAAGCCAATAGGATTTGGAGTAGAGTGCCTTGATCCAGGGAAGTCATGCTACCCCTCTATTCTGCCTTGATTTAGACCACACCTGGAATATTGTGTCCAATTCTGGGCACCACAATTGAAGAGAGATATTGACAAACTGGAATGTGTCCAGAGGAGGCCAACTAAAATGATCAAGGGTCTGGAGTACAAGCCCTATGAGCAGCGGCTTAAGAAGCTGGGCTTGTTTAGCCTGAAAAAGAGAAGGCTGAGAGGAGACTTGATAGCCATGTATAAATATGTGAGAGGAAGTCACAGGGAGGAGGGAGCAAGCTTGTTTTCTTCTGCCCTGGAGACTAGGACGCAATGGCTTCAAACTACAGGAAAGGAGGTTCCACCTGAACATTAGGAAGAACTTCCTGACTGTGAGAGCTGTTCAGCAGTGGAACTCTCTGCCCCGGAGTGTGGTGGAGGCTCCTTCTTTGGAAGCTTTTAAACAGAGGCTGGATGGCCATCTGTCGGGGTGCTTTGAATGCAATTTTCCTGCTTCTTGGCAGGGGTGGACTGGATGGCCCATGAGGTCTCTTCCAACTCTATCATTCTATTATTCTAACTGTAAGACAGTACCTCTGAGCCCCATTCTTGCGAGGCGCCCCAGAAGGATACCATGGTCTATGCCGATATTGAAGGCCGCTGAGGTCTTCAAAGGTCCAGGAGAACCAACAGGAACACACTCTCCCTGTCCTGTTCCCAGTGTAGATCATCCATCAAGGCAACCAAGGCAGTTTCAGTTCCATGAACCGGCCTAAAGCCAGACTGTACCAGATCTAGATAATCAGTGTCTTCCAAGAACACCTGGAGTTGCAAGACCACCACACGTCCATGACTTTGCCCAAAAAGAGGAGATTGGACAGCCTAAAGCTATCGCTTGGCAAACACCAGTCATTTGTTATCCAGTCACCTAGTCATTTCTTCATTTTTCCCTGTTGCCCACCTCCCTTCCACCTCATTGGCTGAGCGGCCAAAGCAGGACCAGGGCCCTCATTGGATCTCCTCCTGGCTCGCTGACGTCACAGCCAATCACAATGAAGCTGGCTTGGGGTGGGTGCGGTGAAAATTGAATGGAAAACTATATATTCTGTATTTACCTGCCTAGCAAATTATTATTATTATTATTATTACTATTATTATTATTATCTTTATTTGTACCCCGCTAGCATCTCCCGAAGGACTCGATGCGACTTACAAAGGCCAAGGCCTCAATAAAACAACAATATAACAGATACACATAAACCATAAAGCAAATCAAAACATTAAAACAATAACAGTAAACAGTAAAAACAGTACACATAGCACAATAAAACTAAGGCCGGGCCAAGTGTAATGGGTACAGATTAAAAAGTGCTGAGTATGCTAAGTGAGATATAAGGATATTTGGGTAAGTGCAATGTGCGGACAATCTTAGAACTCTAATAAAGTGCTTCTGGGACGTGTTGCTGGAGTTTCCTATTCTGGAAAGGCACACCGGAATAGCCAGGTCTTCAAGCTCTTCCTAAAGACTGCCAACGTAGGGGCTTGTCTGATGTCCTTGGGGAGGGTGTTCCAGAGTCGGGGGGCTACCACAGAGAAGGCCCTGTCCCTCGTCCCCACCAACTGCGCTTGCGTCGCAGGTGGGATCGTGAGCAGGGTCTCTCCGGATGAACCAAGGGAGCGTTCATAAACGGAGATGCGGTCACGCAGGTAGAAGGTCCCAAACCGTTTAGGGCTTTGTAGGTGAGCACCTGCACCTTGAATTGGGACCGGAAAATGAACTGCAGCCAAACATGTTGGCTTGTTTGGCAGATTACTGCAATCATCATCCTTTCCAGCTGGAATGAAATAAAACCTCGGTGGCTTTCTCTTCAACTTGGTGAGATTTATTCTGGAATACTGGCTTCTTTTTCTCACCAGGCTAAACCCACAATGGTTTAGATCTCACTATCCACAGCCATTCTAAATTGCTCAACAACAACAACAACATTTCTCCGACTTTGTTTGTAAGCTGGATGTTTGTAACTTTGAGGCTGCCTGTACTCTGGAAGTTGTGGTCCTACAAAAGTGACTTTTCCAAAAAAAGCCAATGGGATTTTGGCCTGCATCAATAGGAGTAGTATAGTGCCTAGTTCCAGAGAAGTCATGCTCCTCCTATATTCTGCCTTGGTTAGACCTTTCCGATTTCAAATCATCAGGTTGGTAACTATTAGAGCTTTGGTGTCTGATTGGACTTTGAAGGGCTACACTGCCTCTGGAAAAAATTGACTTGTTTGCCCTGCAATGCTCCTCTAGAGAGCATCGCTGTGAAGCTAGTGTTAAAAGATGTAAAGCTTTTCACCTTGTAGAGCGGGTGGCATGCGGGCAGCTGGCGGATGATAGCCATAGCAAACACCTCGGCCAACAGGTGCGTCCGGAGCAGATGTGCAACAGCCTGATGGATGCTGAAGTCGGCAGTGCGCACCCAGGTTTTGGCCAGGATCCAATCCCATTCGGAGTCACTCGGCAGGAAGATGGGCGACTGTGGACCTGGGGTCTGGCTGAGCTATACAAGCAGAAGGAGAAGACAGTATGACATGGGACCAAGGAGTTTTGGAAGGCTAAAACAGGAGAGAAATGGTGAAGTCTGGAAAAAGCAAAGATAAGGCGACAGCAGGATTGAAGAGAAACAACTGGAAAAGCTGACACGATAAGAGGATTTAAAGATCAAACTGCAAAGACTCTGGCACAAGCCAGTCAAGGGGGTCCCATTGGTGAACGGCACACTGGGTGCAGTGCCTAAAGACCTTGGTCTGCACTTAAAAACAATCAGTGCTGACAAAATTACCACCTGTCAGCTGCAAAAGGCCACCTTGCTGGGATCTGTGCACATTATTCACTTGGGAAGTGTCTGACGTGTGATCTAATACAACAGCCAGCAGAGTGATCTTTTCTGTTGTAGACTCATCTTGTTATATATAATAATAATAATAATAATAATAATAATAATAACAACCACAACAACAACAACAACAACAATAAAAATAACCTTGCTAGTAGACAATGTATTCCCTGTTCACTTCCTTTTCGCCTTTGGTCATATCAAGAGTGTATCCACACTGTAGAAATAATGCAGTTTGACACCACTTTTAATAACCCTGGCTTAATACTATGGAATCATGGAAGTTATAGTTTCATAAGGTCTTTAGCCAACTCTGTCAAAGAGAGCTGGTGCCTCACCAAACTAAAAATCTCACAAGTCCATAGCACTGAGCCCTGGCAATTAAAACGGTACCAAACTGCATTAATTCTGCAGAGTAGATAGACCTGTAATCTCCCCCTCCTCTATCTTGCTTCTCTTAGATCCCTCCCTCTCCTCCTCTTCTAATCCCCAGTCATTCTTCAATTAAGAATGAAGACTTTACCCGAGCTTTTCATTAGTTAGTCAGGATGTAGGATTGCTATGTATAAGTAAAATTCAAAACATTCACACCTAGCTTCAGCAGACAAGAGTCCTTTGTCCCACCCTGGTCATTCCACAGATATATAAACCCATTCCTAGTTTCCAACAGACCTCACTACCTCTGAGGATGCTTGCCATAGATGCAGGCGAAACGTCAGGAGAGAATGCCTCTAGAACATGGCCATATAGCCCAAAACAACCTACAACAACCCAGTGATTCCGGCCATGAAAGCCTTCAAAGCTATTGGCAAGCTTTGGTATTCATAATCTACAACTCTTTTTTCAATTGATGCAAGGACTCAGGAAAGCACCATAGGGAAACTGAGCCATGCGTTGTCTGCTACTTTGCTAAATCAAAACCAAACCGTAATAGTTCTTGTTTTCATACTTTCCTCCCCAATACTCCAGAAAACGTTGATTTCCAACCCATCCCTAGTTCCCAAGACTCCCAACCTGGAAAATATAGTACCTGAATGGCCAAGGGCATGAGATGATTCCGCGGGGAGAGGTACAACAAGCACAAAGGGGCGGCAATGTACTGCTGGCGCCCGTTGATCACCCCGGCCGGGACATCTTCCAGGAGCTTGTAGTCCACAATGAAGATGTTGCCCTTCTGTAGAGGAGAAGAAAAGTGGAAACACAACAACACATATAAATATGTGAAAGGAAGCCACAGGGAGGAGGGAGCAAGCTTGTTTTCTGCTTCCCTGGAGACTAGGACGCGGAACAATGGCTTCAAGAAAGGAGATTCCATCTGAACATGAGGAAGAACTTCCTGACTGTGAGAGCCGTTCAGCAGTGGAACTCTCTGCCCCAGAGTGTGGTGGAGGCTCCTTCTTTGGAGGCTTTTAAACAGAGGCTGGATGGCCATCTGTTGGGGGTGCTTTGAATGCAATATTTCCTGCTTCTTGGCAGGGGGTTGGACTGGATGGCCCATGAGGTCTCTTCCAACTCTATGATTCTATGAATTCTGCATAAAGAAGCTGTATTTTATTGACCACACACAACATATAGAAAGAAATGTGGGCAATATTATTAACTCTTACCAATTTAAAAGTTTTAAAATACACTTTCTGAGATCTGCTATTATTTTTGGTTAAATGTTAAATATTTGTTTAATTTGTAGGGCTGGGCAACCACGGAAAAATTTGTTTCTAACTCGTTTTTAGGGGTTTTTTGCGTTTTGTTATTTAAAAGAATTCCGAAATTTTTCTTTAAAAAAGTTCGATATTTACAAAATTTCGGAAATTACGAAACAATTTTGAAACAATTACGAATCGATTCGTTAATGGCGGACGCGATTGCGCAATACGCTAAAAAAACCTCCAAATGGGACAGGGGGAACTTCTGAAGCTTCCCTCTCCCTCTGTTGTTGACTGTTGGTGTGATAATTTATTTTTTTATCACTGATAAAACAAACAACAACCATAAAACTTGCACCAGACATACGGAAATAATAACGAAATAATAACGAAACAATTACAAAACAATTACGAAACAATTACGAAACAATTACGAAAAATTTTAAAAATTCGTTTTGATTTTTAGTTGCTCCTGAATGGTTCAATATCGCTTCGTTATAAAAAAAATAACGAATTAATAACGAATTACGAAATTAACGAACGAAACCACCCAGCCCTAATAACCAGGTATATCAGTCTAACAGAGCGTGTGGCGTTCGGATCCGAGCGAGCCAAACCGAACACGGTTTGTGTCCTTCTTAAGGGCATATGCCGCGGCAATAAAGGCCGCAAAGAAAATCTTCTTTGCGGCCTCTATTGCGTCTGCGAAGAACCGTCCGGCTGAATTGTTCCGAGTTGTCAGAGGCCTATTAAAACCCGCCACTCAGGATGGGTGCCCTGATGACTCGGCAGCTCGCTGCGAAGCTTTTGCTCGGTTCTTCGCAGACAAAGTCGCTTTGATCCGCTCTGGACTGGATACCATATTAACGGCAGTATCTGAGGATGTAACACGAGCATCTGCTTGTCCGGTTTTGATGGATTCATTTCAATTGGTTCAATCCGAGGATGTGGACAAGGTGCTTGGAGGAATGAGAGCTACCACATGCCATCCTAGACCCCTGCCCATCCTGGCTTCTAAAGGAGGCCAGAGGGGGATTGGCCGAGTGGGTGAAGGTGGTGGTTAATGCCTCCCTCGGGAAGGCAAAATTCCAGCCAGCTTAAAGCAAGCTGTAATAAAACCGCTGTTGAAAAAACCATCACTGGACTCCACTCAATTCGTCAACTATCGGCCTGTTTCCAATCTCCCCTTTTTGGGCAAAGTCATGGAACGTGTGGTGGCCTCACAACTCCAGGCATTCTTGGTAGACACGGATTATCTGGATCCGGCACAGTCTGGCTTTAGGCCGGGGCATGGTACCGAGACAGCCTTGGTCGCCTTAGTGGATGATCTGCGTCGGGAGCTCGACAGGGGGAGTGTGTCCCTGTTGGTGCTGCTCGACCTCTCAGCGGCCTTCGATACCGTCGACCATGGTATCCTTCTGGGACGCCTCGCGGGGATGGGTCTTGGAGGTACTGTTTTGCAGTGGCTCCGCTCATTCCTCGAGGGTCGGTCTCAGATGGTGTTATTGGGAGACTCCTGTTCAACCCCACAACCTTTGTCTTGTGGGGTTCCTCAGGGTTCAATACTGTCTCCCATGTTGTTTAACATCTACATGAAGCCGCTGGGCGAGATCATCCGGAGTTTCGGAGTGCGATGTCATCTGTACGCAGATGATGTCCAACTCTGTCACTCCTTTCCACCTGCTACTAAGGAGGCTGTCGAGGTCCTGAACCGGTGCTTGGCCGCTGTGACGGTCTGGATGGGGGCGAACAAATTGAAATTGAATCCAGACAAGACAGAGGTACTCCTGGTTAGTCGTAAGGCCGAACAGGGTATGGGGTTACAGCCTGTGTTAGACGGGGTCGCACTCCCCCTGAAGACGCAGGTTCGCAGTTTGGGGGTGATCCTGGATTCATCGCTGAGCCTGGAACCCCAGGTTTCGGCGGTGACCAGGGGAGCTTTCGCACAGTTAAAACTTGTGCGCCAACTGCGACCGTACCTTGGGAAGTCTGACTTAGCCACGGTAGTCCACGCTCTGGTTACATCCCGCCTTGATTACTGCAACGCTCTCTACGTGGGGTTGCCTTTGAAGACAGTCCGGAAGCTCCAACTAGTCCAACGGGCGGCAGCCATGATTCTAACAGGAGCGGGGCGCAGGGAGCATACAACTCCTCTGCTGAACCAGCTCCACTGGCTGCCGATATGCTACCGGGCTCAATTCAAAGTGCTGGCGTTGGCCTTTAAAGCCCTAAACGGTTCTGGCCCAACTTATCTATCCGAACGTATCTCAGCCTATCATCCCACCAGGACCCTAAGATCTTCTGGAGAGTCCCTGCTCTCTATCCCGCCGGCTTCACAAGTGCGGCTGGCGGGAACGAGAGACAGGGCCTTTTCTGTGGTGGCCCCCGGCTTTGGAACACCCTCCCTATAGAGGTACGGTCAGCCTCTTCGCTAATGGTGTTCAGGAAGAGACTGAAAACATGGTTATTCAAACAAGCATTCGGCTAATCTGTGGCAATCGAATCTGATGACTAAGGACAGGAAAATATGGACAACGAATTCTGGATTATGATTTTAATTCAAGATATATGGGATTATTATTGGTGGCCCAATAATTTGAATTGTATGTGTATATGTTTTTAGATTGGAGATTGTTTTAATTGTTGTAAACCGCAATGAGTCGCCGATCCAGGCTGAGATATTAGCGGTATACAAGTGTATTAAATAAATAAATAAATAAATAACAACTGAGAAGCCTAATTTGCTGTGCATGAATACTAGTGGATATTTACCACTAAAGAGAAGATTCACTCAACTAAATATCTGATATGTAGGATGTATTCAATGGACAAAATTTGGCACAGATACCCAATAGGACCAATTTAGAATGCTGGTGGGGTTGGGAGGGGGATTGATATTGTCATTTGGGAATTCTAGTTGCTGGAATTTATAGTTAATCAAAGAGCATTCTGAACTCCACTAATGATGGAATTGAACCAAACTTGGCACACAGAACTCCCATGACCAACAGAAAATACTGGAAGGGTTTGGTGGGCATTGACCTTGAGTTTGGGAGTTGTAGTTCACCTACATCCAGAGAGCACTGTGGACTCAAACAATAATGGATCTGGACCAAACTTGGCGCAAACATTCCATATGCCAAATGTGAACACTGGTGGAGTTTGGGGAAATAGACCTTGACATTTGGGAGTTGTAGTTGCTGGGATTTATAGTTCACTTCGATCAAAGAGCATTCTGAACCCCACGAACAATAGAATTGGGGAAAACTTCCCACACAGAATCCTTATGACCAATAGAAAATACTTAAGGCCATCCAGTCTTTGGGACCCCTCTCACCCCCCTGCGACCCCCCCCCCCCCCCCGGGGTCCCAACCCCCAGGTTGAGAAACATGGTTTAGGGCTTGGTTTTGTCAGAAGACTTGCTAAGCTGTATATCCAAACAATGCTGAAAGAATCAAAGCTACTGTTACTCTATGTTTCCTGCATTTTGATGTGAGCTACAGACATAATGTACTACTACTATAGTATGAAAAGTAACTTCCTCATGGTCTGGTTTGTTTTCACAATAGGTTCCCAGACACCAAGCACCTGCTTCCTTTCCTACCTGCAGCTCTTTCTCCAGCGTGGTGTCCGCTCCAAGGGACTTGGCCACCATTTCCTGAGTCACAGGGAAATTTGGTGGGATCGTGGTGCATCTCTGGATCAATTTGGGATTCAGTCCATTCAGGAACTGGTACCCAAAGAAGGCATCTTCTTTCCAGTGCTCTGTGACATATACTAGAATGGCAAACAAGAATTCAATTGGGGAAGATCCATTTACAAGAAGGGATTAAGTCAGGATTATTTTTGGCACATTGAATTGAGGGCCCTTCTACACATGCACTAAAGCCTGAAAGAAACCGGGGGAAAGGGATGGTGGCTAAATGGCATTTTGACAAAGTGTGGGCTAAATCAGATTAACAACTGAATAGCACATGTTTAAAAGGTGGGCTTAAAACCTGATTCTACCCCCCAAAATGTGCATATCCACATGCCTAGATATCCCTGCAGTCATGGAAAACATGTTATTTCTTGGGTTGTTGTAGGTTTTTTCGCGCTATATGACCATGGTCTAGAGGCATTCTCTCCATTCACACCTAGCTCCAGCAGACACGAGTCCTTTGTCCCACCCTGGTCATTCCACAGATATATAAACCCTTTTTCCTAGTTCCAACACACCTCACTACCTCTGAGGATGCTTGCCATAGATGCAGGCGAAACGTCAGGAGAGAATGCCTCTAGACCATGGCCATATAGCCCGAAAAAACCTACAACAACCCAGTGATTCCGGCCATGAAAGCCTTCAACAATACTTGTTATTTCTTTCCTATCCCCTGGTGTGAACCGCTCCAGTGCATGCACACATTTTAAAAGCTCAAAACAGCTGATCGGGGTTGTAAAAAAATGGAACCTCAGACACACAGGTGGCTAAACGCAAGCACAATTGGAAAGCAGTTACAGTTAGAACTCTCTGCAGTCATTCCTTTGTTCTGATCTTTACAATATTAAACAGAGCTTGAATTTATAGTTGGGTGAGGAGAAAGAATAAGAAATCGCCTTGTGTGTACATTAAGAGATCCACATGAGCGCATATACGATCCAGCGCATCTCAGAGAGAATTTTAAAAAACCCTTCCGCTGAATGTCCTTAGTCCATTTTGCGGATTTGTAAAATCCACTATAAAGGAAGGTGTCAGAACAGCAGGGGACTATTTTCTGCGACTGACAGGTCTATGTCTGGACTTGCTCTCAGGTCCCGTGATTTTTAAATCCATTTATTTAATCTGAATTTTGATGCTATACGGTAGGGCCCTAAGTTTGAAGCAAATATAAGCTGAGGACCAAGGGGGAAGGAGGGAGGAAGAGAGAAAAATTGGGACATTTTTAAAGCAGCTGAAAAGATGGCTCAACAGAGGCATATCATCAGGATAGTATCCAAGATATCCATCTTACCTGATGTTTCTGACTTGTTGAACCAGAAAACATTCTTGATGTCATCCAGGCTCCCCCAGGATCTTTTGCTATCAGAATATCCTCTCAGCTTGTGCTCTATGGTCCTAAATGTAGTCAAAGAAAAGAACATTTTCAAAGCAGTGGTAGTAGTAACACTTTATTTTGTATTCTGCCCTATCTCCCCGAGGGGAGACAGGGCGGATTCCAGCATATACAGAGACACAAGGCAAACATTCAATGCCTCGAAACAATGAAACACAGATACACAGATAAAGTTAAAGGCTTTCCCTTCATCTCCAGCTCTGGAAGTGGTTCTCATCTCCATTTCTAAGCCAAAGAGCCTGCATTGTCTGTAGACAGCTCCTAGTGTTGTACACCAGAGCAGGAACATCTCTGACCTTAAACACTACACCAACTTGGTAAAATCAGCAAGCAGTTTATTGAAGAATAAAAGTAGGCAAAGCAGTAAAATTAGCAAAAACAGTAAAGTTCCAAAACAAAGGTTAGTCCATGAGCTTCAAGGTAAAACAAAACCCATAGGATAAGTATAACATCCATGAAACAGGCACCAGAGCCCATGAAACAGGGCAGCATGAAAAACTCAATATACAAACAAGGAGCACATGAAACTAAGAATATTTGAAAGCAAGTCCATCACATTCCATCATTGACCCAACTGAGGCAGCTCTTTCCCATGAATCAGTATAAAGGGTTTCCAGATCCCAAAACCGAAAGGAAAGCATTTCTCTTGACCATACCACTCTCTCTTTTCCTATAAACGAACTGATCTTCCTTACACACGAGCTCTCTCTCTGTGTGTTTACAAAAGTCTTGCTTTCTATCTATACTGTCATTAACTTCATTAACTTCTGCACCTAACTAATCATCTTCAGACAGTTGCTCTGAGAAAGACTGTGATGGGCCTCTCCCAGGAATGTGACCTTGTGAATCTTCCTGAGATAGCTTCAGGCCTCTTGTCTGTGCTTAACTCAGGCCCAGCTCAAACCTCATTCCCATTGCCAACAGACCCACCATCAGGAACATCATTCCCATTCCCATCATGAACATCAGACACAATCACAAGCTGAACAGGCTAGCATACAACACCTAGGTCGTGTGGCCGGCATGACTGCATGAAGCGCTGTTTATTTATTTATTTATTTACGGCATTTTTAGCACGCCTTTCTCAGCCTTACAGCGACTCAAGGCAGCTCACATAATTAGCAAATTTAGTGCCATACATTCATAAAAATACAGTTAAAAACAATCAACTCAACACTAAAAAGCATTTAAAACCATATGATCACTGTTTACCTTCCTGCCGAGGCGGTACCTATATTGCTCTACTCACATTTGCATGTTTTTGAACTGCTAGGTTGGCAGGAGCTGGGGCTAACAGGGGGAGTCCATCCCACCCCAAGTTTAGCAGCTCAGTGGTTTAACCCGTGTGCCACCGCGGCCCCACAGTACTTGTGAGTGACATAGTGTATCTCAACAGTTGTGCCCATCAAACAGAAAATCCCTGGCCAATGCAATGATTACTCCTTCAAATATTTAACATAACACTCCACGTGTTCGTTTTTTAAAAAATCCAATACAGTAGAGTCTTTCTTATCCAACATAAATGGGTCGGCAGAACATTGGATAAGCGAAAGCATTGGATAATAAGGAGAGATTAAGGAAAAGCCTATTAAACATCAAATTAGGTTATGATTTTACAAATTAAGCACCAAGACATCAAATTTTACAACAAATCAACAGAAAATGCAATTCAATACACAGTTTTTGTTTGTTTGTTTGTTTTGTTGCGTCAGGAGCGACTTGAGAAACTGCAAGTTGCTTCTGGTATGAGAGAATTGGCCATCTGCAAGGACGTTGCCCAGGGGACGCCCGGATGATTTGATGTTTTTTATCATCCTTGTGGGAGGCTTCTCTCATGTCCCCGCATGAGGAGCTGGAGCTGATAGAGGGAGCTCATCTGCCTCTCCCTGGATTTGAACCTGCGACCTGTCGGTCTTCAGTCCTGCTGGCACAGGATTGCGCCACCGGGGGCTCCGACAATAAACAGTAACGTTATGTAATAATTACTATATTTATAAATTTAGCATCAAAACATCACAATGTATTGAAACAGCTGTGGATCCGGGCAGGAGGCAGACTGCGCTGGATAATACAGAACATTGGATGAGCGAAGGTTGGATAAGTGAGACTCTACTGTATAACCCTCCTGGAACAATCCTTCACCTCCTTCCCACACAACTCACTTGCTTACAGCTCGTCCAATAAAGAAGGTTCCTTTGACGAAGGAGAATTTGGTTTCAGTTTCTAACTCTTTTGGAGAAGAGACGTTCAGACAGTGAGGGACGCCCTCGTTCCATACCTTCCACCTGTACGGAGAGAAAGGAGTAACAATTGTTTAGATCTGGAATATCTCCTTCTGGCTTGGAGAAGATATTCATGAGAGTAAAAGTTCTCAAAAATAGAATATTCTAGGCTGATAAGTCAAAAAGACTCATTGATTCCAACTTTGGAGTTTTTGCTCTTCCCATCAGAGAGAGAGAGATACATTGACTCACCCTAGAGCTGCACAAAGGTTGGGGAGCTTGGAGTTCTTGCTTGCAAACTAACAAGGAATTATAACCTTCATCACACTTAATCATTCTAGCCAAGGAGGATGAATCCCCTCCTAACTGGATCACCCAGAGTCCTAACATTCATATCTAACATCCTGAAGTAAAGAAGCAAATAATCTAGATATACAGTGGGTTGTTGTAGGTTTTTTTGGGCTATATGGCCATGTTCTAGAGGCATTTCTCCTGACGTTTCCCCTGCATCTATGGCAAGCTTCCTCAGAGGTGAGGTGCATCTTGCCATAGATGCAGGCGAAACGTCAGGAGAAATGCCTCTAGAACATGGCCCTATAGCCCGAAAAAACCTACAAGAACCTAGTGATTCCAGCCATGAAAGCCTTCGACAATTAATTGTTTCTCAGGCTACTTCGCAGTTCACTTTTTGTGGACTCACTGTTTCGTGGGGGTTTTGTTAATTAATTTAAAATACAGTACTGTATACAAGTAGTGAGGGAACACTGGAGGAGGAAGGAGGGGTGGGTGGGTGGATGGATGGATGGATGGATCTCTGCGTAAGCTCAGCCTCCTCGCTCTCTTTACCTACCTTCCTCCTCCTCCTCCTCCTCCTCCTCCTTGGCACCATTGCACATGCTGGGTGTGAGCCTGAGGCTGAGGGAAAGTAGTGCCCAGTAACACCCAGACAGAGAGAGAGATTGATTGAGACAGAGAGGGGCCATCTTCCAGAGGAAGGGGTGACGGGGGACATACATATATGTATGTATACTGTACCCACACTGTAAGCATTCCTACTTCATGGATTTTCACTTATCACGGGTGGTCCTGGAATGTAACCCCCATGATAAGTGAGGGAACACTGTACACATATGACACACAAACCCATTTTGGGAAATGTGAGTACCATTGGGAACTTGGCCATTTCTCCTTTCCTGCCTGACTCAGAATCAACAAAAACATGAGGTTCTTTGCATTGTCAAAGACTTTCATTGAATCATAGAATCATAGATAAAATCGTAGAATCAAAGAGTTGGAAGAGACCTCATGGGCCATCCAGTCCAACCCCATTCTGCCAAGAAGCAGGAATATTGCATTCAAATCACCCCTGACAGATGGCCATCCAGCCTCTGTTTAAAAGCTTCCAAAGAAGGAGCCTCCACCACACTCCGGGGCAGAGAGTTCCACTGCTGAACGGCTCTCAGAGTCAGGAAGTTCTTCCTCATGTTCAGGTGGAATCTCCTCTCTTGTATTTTGAAGCCACTGTTTCGTGCCCTAGTCTCCAGGGAAGCAGAAAACAAGCTTGCTCCCTCCTCCCTGTGGCTTCCTCTCACATATTTATACATGGCTATCATATCTCCTCTCAGCCTTCTCTTCTTCAGGCTAAACATGCCCAGCTCCTTAAGCCGCTCCTCATAGGGCTTGTTCTCCAGACCCTTGATCATTTTAGTCGCCCTCCTCTGGACACATTCCAGCTTGTCAATATCTCTCTTGAAATGTGGTGCCCAGAATTGGACACAATATTCCAGGTGTGGTCTAACCAAAGCAGAATAGAGGGGTAGCATGACTTCCCTAGATCTAGACACTATGCTCCTATTGATGCAGACCAAAATCCCATTGGCTTTTTTTGCCGCCACATCACATTGTTGGCTCATGTTTAACTTGTCCACGAGGACTCCAAGATCTTTTTCACACGTACTGCTCTCGAGCCAGGCGTCCCCCATTCCATGCATTTATATGGCTTCTCTCCTGTGTGGGTCCTTTGATGGGATGTTCCAGAAGCATTCTCTCCTGATGTTTCACCTACATCTATGGTGGGCACCCTCAGGGGTTGTGAGGTCTGTTTGAAACTAGACAAGTGGGGTTTACATATCTGTGGAATGATGTCCAGTGTGGGAAAAAGAATTCTTGTGTCTTTGAGGCAAGTGTGAATGTTGCAATTGGCCAGTTTTATTAGCACTGAATGTCCTTGCAGCTTCAAAGCCTGGCTGCTTCCTGCCTGGGGGAGTCCTTTGTTGGGAGGTGTTAGCTGGTCCCGAACAAGGACAAGCCACGAGAATAAAGACAAAGATCTACCCAGAGGAAAAGTGTTCTTGCCATACATCAAGGGAACCACTGACTGCATAGGGAAGCTGATGAGGAAACACAACCTACAAATGATCTAGTGACCCACCAAGAAAATCCAACAAATGCTACGTTCAGCAAAGGACAAGAGGGATCCTCTCACCTCTGCAGGAGTCTGTTGTATACGATGCAGCTGTGGACAAGTCTATATAGGGATCTTGTGGACATTCCTCAGATATTTGGACATTCCACAGATATATAATGTCTATAGACAGTCCACGTTTCACAGGCGTATAGGAAGGTTGGGAGGACAATAGCTTTATAAACAAGCACCTTGGTCTCCCTATGGATGTCCTGGTATATAAACCCCACTTGCCTAGTTTCCAACAGACCTCACAACCTCTAAAGATGCCTTCCATAGATGTGGGTGAAACGTCAGGAGAGAATGCTTCTGGAACATGGCCATATAGCTCGGAAAACTCACAGCAACCCAATGAGTTTCTTTATCTGAAGCAATGGATGGATGTGGTTTTTAGATATCATCTCATAGGTTTAGCCCCACTTACTGGTAGAAAGACTGCCTCTGCTGGACCTCCTTACTCCGGAATTCTTTGAGCAAAGGTAGAGTATCCATGGCAGGGGTTTTAGCTGGAGGAAGAAACACAGAAAAGATTGTTTATATCTTTAGAAGCCTACTTGCTTCATTCAACACAGTCATTGATCTGAGACAGAAACTGCTTAAAATTCCAGTACTAAAAACGGAGACATCTTGCAACTGGAAGATAACCTTGGTGGGTGAAAAATCGATGCAAAAGGTGATCTACAGCACAACAAAAGCATTCCCCTTCTTGCTAGGATGGGCTCTGGCACCTCCTTGCAACAAGTGGTAGGACTGGACCCTAAACAACACTTTCTACCCAGGGTCATGGGGTTGGGCAGTTGAGTTTTGGTGAAGGTCATGTGAAGAATCCAAACCCTGGATCAGACCTGATGACCTTTCTAGGCCCAACCCCTGCCAGATGTTTCCAGCAAGCCCATAAGCAAGGCTTGAGTATCCTAGCATCGACCCAATTATCTTTTCCAACAATTTATTGCCCAACACACATTTTGGTGCCTCGAATATTAGTCCTGTTTTTGGATACATTTGAGCTGTTGACTATCAAGCAAAAAGTGGGGGTGAGAAGCAATATCATATGAAAGCTGACTGGCACAACCTGGGGATCACAACCAGACACAGTGAAGGCATCTGCCCTTGCCCTTTGCTACTCTGCTGCTGAGTATGCATGCCCAGTGTGGAAGACATCTTGCCACTTTAAAACAGTGGATGTGGCTCTTAATAAGACATGCCACATTATCACAGCATAGGTCTACACCCTACATCACTGGAGAATTGCATCCGTCAGAAAGTAACAGCCTGTAACGAAAGGACCAAAGCATGAACGTCTCCAGCCCATCCTGAGTTCAGATATCAGCCAGCAAGCCAATGCCTCTAATCAAGAAATCAAGAAATAGCTTTCTAAGATCTACAGAGATACTTGCAGGAACACCTCAGCAAGCGAGAGTCCAAAAGTGGCAGGCTTAAACTCAGAACCTCAATCCATGGTTGATATCGGATGAGAGACTCCTTCCTGTGCACACAGAAGACTGAGCAACTTTAAAGGACTGAATAGGCTGCGCTCTGGCACCACAAGGTGCAGAGCCAATATTCAGAAATGGGGCTGCAAAGTGGAGTTCACGTCATGCGAGTGCAGAGAAGAGCAAACCACAGACCATTGACTACAATGCAGCCTGAGCCCTACCTACCACATGCACAATGGAGCACCTCCTCACAGCCACACCAGAGGCCAGCTTCTGGTCAAGTGGCCAGCTTCTGGTCAAAGGACATTTACGTAGTAAAATGTCAAGTTTTTAAACTTTGTGTTTTTAAATACATTATAATTGTACCTGCAATTCACTTCTGGCATGATAAATAAATAAGCTGCTGATTCCAAGAATTCTCCCACCACCACCATATATAGAACATATGCCAACCTCTAGTCACTAACCATATCTAAAAAAATTAGAGTGAATGCATTCTATAATGCAATTTTCCGAATAAGTGCCCCAAATAACTCCAGGAACAGACCTAAAAACAAAGACACCAAGAATGTTTTTAATTGGGTGATGTTATTATTCAGGGCCAAGACAATATCCAATATTCATGTAAATCTCATTTATCTCACTCTAACAAGACAAGAAGAATTTCAATTTTTTTTCCTTCCACTGGGCACTGCAATTGAAGAGAGATATTGATAGGCTGGAATGTGTCCAGAGGAGGGTGACTCAAAGGATCAAGGGTCTGGAGAACAAGCCCTATGAGGAGTGGTTTAAAGAGCTGGGCATGTTTAGCCTGCAGGAGAGAAGGCTGAGAGGAGACATGATAAGAGCCATGGATCAAGATGTGAGGGAAAGTCATAGGGAGGAGGGAGCAATCTTGTTTTCTGCTGCCCTGGAGACTAGGACGCAATGGACTAGAGGCCCTTCCACACAGCCCTTATATCCCAGAATATCAAGGCAGGAAATCCCACATTATATGAGTGCGGACTTAGATAAGTTCAAAGCAGATATTGTGGGATTTTATGCCTTGATATTCTGGGATATAAGGCTGTGCGGAAGGGCCCTTTGGCGCTGAACAATGGCTTCAAACTACAAGAAAGAAAGGAGATTCCACCTGAACATTAGAAAGAACTTCCTCACCATGAGAGCTGTTCAGCAGTGGAACTCTCCGCCCTGGTGTGTGGTGGAGGCTCCTTATTTGGAGGGTTTTAAACAGAGGCTGGATGGCCATCTGGTGGGGATGCTTTGAATGTGATTTCCCTGCTTCTTGGCAAAATTGGGTTGGACTGGTAGGCCCACAAGGACTCTCCCATCTCTAGAATTCTATGATTCTAGGTTGACAAGAGTTTATGTTCACTTGTGAGTGATCTTTCTAGCTTTGGGATGTGTTTATGTAAAACTAGCTGTACCTGCCACGCATTGCTGTGGCCAACCTTCCCTCCCTCCCTCCTCCCTCTTTCTTTCTTTCTTTCTTTCTTTCTTTCTTTCTTTCTTTCTTTCTTTTTTCTTTCTTTTTTCTTCCTCCTTTTTCTCCTTCCTTTCTCTTTTTCCATCCTTCCTTCCTCCTTCTCTTCCTTTTTCCTTTTCCTTCCTTCCTTCCTTCCTTCCCTTCCTTCCTTCCCTCTTTCTTTCTTTCTTCCTTCCCTCTTTCTTATTTCTTCTTCTCTCCTTCCTTCCCTCTTTCATTTTATTTTCCTTCTCTCCTTCCTTCCTTCTCTACCTTTTTTCTTCTTCCTCTCTCTCTTCTTCCCTCTTTCTTCTCCCTCCTTCCTTCCTTCCTTCCTTCCTCTTTCTCTCTTTCTCTTCTTCCTTCCTTCCTCTTTTTTTTTCCTTCCTCCTTCTCCTTTCTCCTTTCTCTTCCTTCTCTCTTCCTTCCCTCTTTCATTTTATTTCCTTCTCTCCTTCCTTCCTTATCTACCTTTCTTTCTTTCCTTCTCTCCTTCTCTCCTTCTTTCCCTCTTTCTCTCCCTCCTTCTCTCCTTCCTTCCTTCCTTCCTTCCTTCCTCTCTTTCATTCCTTCCTTCCTTCCTTCCTTCCCTCTTTCATTCCTTCTCTCCTTCCTTCCTCTTTCACTTTTTTATTTCCTTCTCTCCTTCCTCTCCCACCTTTCTTTCTTTCCTTCTCTCCTTCCCTCCTCTTTCCTCTTCTCTCTCTCTTTCTCCTTCCTTCCTTCCTTCCTTCCTTCCTTCCCCCTTTCTGGGTATGTGTTTTGTGTGTGCATATATCTGTGTATATATTTCCGTATATATATATATATATATATATATTACATGGAGATCATGAGCTTTATTTAGAGTCATGTTGCTAAGTTTTATAACAAAGAATGCTGCTGGTGTGAGCTTCTTTCAAGCCTTGGATGTTGGGTTTTTTCCTAAAAGGTTCTTACAAGTTTTCATGGTACATCAACAGGATGAACTAGTTTTGCCAGCTAACCTCTAATTTAATATTTAAATCAGAACAGTTCAACAACTATATATTTCCGTATATATTTTTGTATACATGTATATTAGGCTTGGGCAATCCATGGTTCTAAATGGTTCTAAAGTACTTACAAAACTAAAGTTCTTGTGGTGAAAATTTCAGAACTCTAACAAAACTCTCAAAATTTCATAATAAATGGCAGTTCCTAATTGGTTCTGTCATTAAAATCACCAATAATGAAATAATAATTAAATTTTGAAAGTTTTGTTAGAGTTCTGAAATTTTCACCACCAGAACTTTAGTTTTGTAAGTACTTTAGAACCATTTAGAACCATGGATTGCTCAGGCCTAATGTATATAATATATGTGTTTGTGTACATATGTGGTTTTGTGCATGCGTTGAAATGCATTTTTTTGGCTTTTTAAGTCCCTTCCACTGTGATATTTCAGTGTTTTAATGAGTGATGGTCACTTGTTGGCCTGAGAGGTGTCTTGTATCCAAATCTGGTGTCAATTTGTCCAGTGGTTTTTGAGTTATGTTAATCCCACAAACGAACATTACATTTTTATTTAGATAGATAAATGTGCATTAAACTCTTGTCACTCTGCTGAGCAGCAACGACACTTTTGTCTCTGACTTGTGCTAATTTGTGAAGGATTTTTTCACACTTTGGGATTTTTTTTGCCAAAAAAAGTGCTTATGAAAAAAACAAATGCATGCAATCTTTTATTATCCTGCTAATTGGGAGGGGGGGGGACTTTTGAAGACCTTTCCTCTGTTCTTCTAGGATACTGACTTACCCGATCCCTCCCGCAGCTCCAAAGACTGCCGCCCTTCCATCCACTGGTAACAAGGGAAGCGGTAGGCCACCCCTTTGGGGGACGTCACGGTGATAAATGTGCAGTACCAGTTCGTGGGGGTGAGGAGGAGTTTGGTTTCTTTGTTGAGACGGATGAGCACAATGTCCCCCAGGTCCTGTTTGCTAGAGACTTTGTAATCACTCACCTGTAAAGGAAAAGTCAGAGAATCACCTCAATCAATAGACCAGTGGTTCTCAACCTTCCTAATGCTGCCACCCCTTCATACAATTCCTCATGTTGTGCTGATCCCCAACCATAACATTATTTTCGTTGCTACTTCGCAACTGTCATTTTGCTTCTGTTCTGAACTGCATGTAAATATCTGATATGCAAGATATATTTTCATTCACTGGACCAAATTTGGCACAAATACCTGATACAACCAAATTTGAATACTGGTGGTTTTGAAGGTGGGATTGATTTTGTTATTTGGGAGTTGTAGTTGCTGGGATTTATACTTAACTCACAATCAAAGAGCACTCTGAACTCCACCAATGATGGAATTGAACCAAACTTGGCATACAGAACTCCCATGACCAACAGAAAATACTGGAAGGGTTTGGTGGGCATTGATCTTGAGTTTGGGAGTTGTAGTTCACCTACATCCAGAGAGCACTGTGGACTCAAACAATGATGGATCTGGACCAAACTTGGCATGGATACTCAATATGCCCAAATGTGAACACTGGTGGAGTTTGGGGAAAATAGACCTTGACATTTGGGAGTTGTAGTTGCTGGGATTTATAATTCACCTACAGTCAAAGAGCATTCTGAACTCCACCAAAGATGACATTGAACCAAACTTGGCACACAGAACTCCCATGACCAACAGAAAATACTGGAAGGAAGTGGTGGGCATTGACCTTGAGTTTTGGAGTTGTAGTTCACCTACATCCAGAGAGCACTGTGAAACAATAATGGACCTAGACCAAACTTGGCTCAAAAACTCAATACACCCAAATGTAAACACACGTGGAGTTTGGGGAAAATAGACCTTGACATTTGGGAGCTGTAGTTGCTGGGATTTATAATTAACCTACAATCAAAGAGCACTCTGAACCTAGCTCACAATGGATGCTACCTATATGGCCAGCATTGAATACTGGTGGGGTTGGGGGGCTGGTTTTGAATTCTGGGAGTTATAGCGCACCAACACCAAAAAGGATGAGAATGACAGACGGCGAGATCTTCAGCCTTCTCTACTCAAGTTTGACTAAGTATACCTTTTGCTTGTGGACTTAAGCTATTCTTGTGACTTTGGGCTATTCCTAGACTGCATTACCTTTGAATCTATAAGAGACTTCTGGATCTCCATTGGATTATCACCTATAGCTAAACCTTTTATACATCTACTTTCTTTACTCTTGATTTTTCCTATACTTTTAATGTGTTTCTACAATAAACTGTTTGTTTATATTCTAGACTCTCATGTGGTGCTGTGGTCAGAGGTGTTCCCAGGCCTGGAGCATAACACAGTGATATCTAGTTTTTACTGAATTTAGGCTTTCAAGTGATATGAAATGACAACTCCCATCATCTTTTATTATCTCCCAAGAGGACTGGGGAAAATGGGAATTGCAACCCAATCACACTTGTGGCTCTGCAGTCAGGAAAAGGTTAAATGGCATATTGCCTGTTTAGCAGTCCTAGATATCGTGTCAAACTCTGCTCCAACATCACATTTCAAATGAGTTGATGTCCTTCCTATCAGCCTTCCTCACTTTTTGGCAATCACAACCATACATATAAAATGTGTGTGTGTGTGTATCTACACTCCCCGCAGCACCAACTGCTGCTCTGGGCCAGAGTAAAGAGAGAGGGGGCAAGGGGACAGTTCCACCTTGTCTCTTGTGTTATGCTAATAATATAATATAATATAATATAATATAATATAATATAATATAATAATATAATATAATATAATATAATATAATATAATATAATATAATATAATACAATATAATAATGTATATACATATAATATTTATAATATTGTAATGTATTTTTTTTGTTGTGTCCGGAGCAACTTGAGAAACTGCAAGTCGCTTCCAGTGTGAGAGAATTGGCGGTCTGCAAGGAGGGATGCCCGGATTATTTGATGTTTTTTATCATCCTTGTGGGAGGCTTCTCTCATGTCCCCGCATGAGGAGCTGGAGCTGATAGAGGGAGCTTATCCACCTATCCCCGGATTCGAACCTGTGATCTGTCAGTCTTCAGTCCTGCCGGCACAGGGGTTTAACCCACTGCACCACTGGGGGCTTCATTGTAATGTAATACAATATAATAATAATAATAATAATAATAATAATAATAATAATGATGATGATGATGATGATGATGATAATAATATGCTATTATAATTATATATTTTATATTACAGGTAATATTACTAATAATATTACAATATAATGGTATGGTACAATATAGCAATATATAATGCTGATATTGTACTATGCTAATAATATAATATATTGTATGTATATATATCTTGTAAGCCGCTGTGAGTCCCCTTCGAGGTGAAAAGGGCGGCATATAAATGTCATAAATAAATAATTAATAAATAATAAACACTGTGACGTGGACAATACTGACTTTAGCATTCAATGCTTTTTGGAAAAACTGAACAGTTTTCAATGTCTTTCTCCCAGTGTTACAGTTACTCACTGTTTACTTTAAGAATTAATTTAGCATCTCTAGATCCAGGACCTTGGATAGCTCCTTTAAATTGCAGATTCACTACCTTATAGACATGCTACAATATATCTCTGGAAGCTAAATTCTGGCCCAAATCTCAAACGTGACCACAACGGTACTACTCTCTCTATATGTACGTCAGATCTAGAGATATAAAACTCCATGTTCAGTTGCTAATGGGGAAGAAGGAGGATGTTTCCAATCTCTGACCACCAGCAAGTGAATTGAGAGGAGGTCCTGGATCTGATTGTGTTGCCAATCAGAGTCAGGATCCATCTCAATTCCTTGTTCATTGACAGGAAAGTGATGGAAGCAACATCTTGTTTGAGCCCTGGTTTCCAATTGAACAGATCTCCATCTCTCATGGGATGCTGCCTGGTGAAGTAGGGTTTGGAGGGAGGAGCAAGGCCAGAAGACATCACTTAGGGTCCTTTCATAAAGGCATATAACTCAGAATATCAAGGCAGAAAATCCCACAATATCTGCTTTGAACTGGGTTATCTGAGTCCACATTGACATATATTCCAATGCAAAGCTCTATATTGTTGCTCTGTTTATTTATATTGGTTTTTGTAAAAGAATTGTATTTTTTCTGTTGTGTTCTTGTATTATATTGTTTTAATGTATTGCTGGGCTTGGCCTCATGTAAGCTCCCCCAAGTCCCCTTGGGGAGACGGTGGCGGGGTATAAATAAATAAATAATAATAATAATAATAATAATTATTATTATTATTATTATTATTAAAGCAGAAAATGTGGGATTTTATTCAGCTGTGTGGAAGGGACCTTAGTCATTAAGCTAAGTATTTAAAATGAGTGGGAGGGGTGGGGGAAAGATTTACAGTTTTGAACCAAGCTTGGTAAAGGTTTTCCCCTGACATTAAGTCCAGACGTGTCAGACTCTGGGGGTTGGTGCTCATCTCCATTTCTAAGCCAAAGAGCTGGCGTTGTCCATAGACACCTCCAAGGTCATGTGGTTGGCATGACGTCATGGAGCACCATTACCTTCCCGCCAGAGCGGTACCTATTGATCTACTCACATTTGCATGTTTTCAAACTGCTAAGTTGGCAGAAGCTGGGGCTAACAGTGGGAGCTCACCCCGCTCCCCGGATTTGAACCTGCAACAAGTTCAGCAGCTCAGCAGTTTAACCCACTGTGTCACTGGAGGCAAATACATGGCTAAACTTCAGCCCTCCAGGTGTTTTGGACTTCAACTCCCATAATTCCTAACAGCCTACCGGCTGTTAGGAATTATGGGAGTTGAAGTCCAAAACACCCGGAGGGCCAAAGTTTGCCCATGCCTGAGTTAGACAGAGATATAGAGAGAAAGGCTAGGACAGATTGCTTGGTGACCCAAATGGCCCACTTTCCCCACACTCACCGCTCCAGCAAAGAAGTCCACACCAAAGTTGTCCATTGCAGTTTTGGGGCTCTCGCCCTCGGTGCCCACCAAGGTGATGTAAATGGCATCAATAGTGCCTGCCTTGATGTTGTTGCCTGTCACCACCTTGACGCTGTACTTGAAGTCCATCTTGCTGGGGCTCAGGTACTACGCTTTGAGTTTGAGCACCAAAGGAGGAGGAGCTGGGATACTCAGTCTGTCCTGCGGTTCCAGCACCGTAAGCCTCCTCTCCAAAGCATGGCATTTATAGCCCCCTTCAGCCTTGGGGCTCCTCCCCTGGAAAGAGAGGTGGGCCCAGAACTGTGACCCCCTCCTGGGTCCTAGAATCACATAGGTGGGCCTTTGGGGGGAGAGCTTGGATTGCTTCACTCCGCTCCCAGATCAGAAGATTCCAGCACTATAAAGACATGCCTTGCTCAATGTATGGAGATGTCTCCCTGGGTCCTAGAAGCATAAAGGTGGGCCTTTGGGGGGAAAGCTTGGATTGCTTCACTCCTCTCCGGTTCTGCAGAAAGAGAGTGACATTGAGCAAGAACACATTGAGCAAGAAGTGTCTTCATGGTCCTTGTTTTAATATCATAATCCCTATGGGCAGAGGAAGGGTCAGTGTTGAATATCCAAGCTGTGAAGCAGTAAGGAAGAGGAAAAAGAAGGAAAGAACACAGCAAAGAGGAGAGGGATATATATATATATATATATATATATATATATATATATATATACACACATAGAGAGAGAGAGAGAGAGAGAGAGAGAGCAGGCGGGAGGGAGGAAGGAAAGAAAGGAAGGGAAGGAAGAAGGAAGGGAGAAAGGGAGGGAGGGAGGAAAGGAAAGGAAAGGAAAGGAAAGGAAAGGAAGGAAGGAAGGAAGGAAGGAAGGAAGGAAGGGAGGGAGGGAGGGAGGGAGGGAGGGAGGTAGGGAGGGAGGGAGGAGGGGAAGGAGGAGGAAGGAAGGAAGGAAGGAGGAAGGAAAGGAAGGAAGGGAAGAGGAAGGAAGGAAGGAAAGAGGAAAGAGAATGAAGGAAGAAGAAAAAGAAGGGAAATAAAAGGGGGAAGGAAGGAAAGAGGTAGAGAATGAAGGAAGGAGAGAAGGAAAGAAAAAGAAGGAAGGAAGGAAGGAAGGAAGGAAGGAAGGAAGGAAGGAAGGAGGAAGAGAAGAAAGGAAGGAGAGGAAGGAGGAAGGAGAGGAAGGAAAGAAGGAGGGAAGAAGGAAGGAAGGAAGGAAGGAAGGAAGGAAGAAGGAAGGAAGGAAGGAAGGAAGGAAAGAAGGAAGAGAAGGAAGGAAGGAAGGAAGGAAGAAGGAAGGAAGGAAGAAAGAAAGGAAAGAAGGAAGGAAGGAAGGAAAGAAGGAAGGAAAGAGAAAGGAAGGAAGGAAAAAGGGGAAGGAAGGAAGGAGGAAGAAAGAAGGAGGAAAAAAGAAAGAGGAAGGAAGGAAGGAAAGGAAGGAAGGAAGGAAAGAAAAGAAAGAAAAGGAAGGAAGAAGGAAAGGAAGGAAGGAAGAGAAGAAAGAAAGGAAAGGAAGAGGAGGAAGGAAGGAAAGGAAGGAAGGAAGGAAGGAAGGAAGGAAGGGAAGGAAGGAAGGAAGGAAGGAAGGAAGGAAGGAAGGAAGGAAGAAGGCAGGAAAGGAAGTCGCAAGGAAGAAAAGGGGGGGAGAGAAGGAGGCAGAAAGGAAAGAAAGAAAAATGAGGGAAAGGAGGACATGCTTATCAAGGTTGCAGATGACACCAAAGCTAATACACCAGAGGACAAGATCAAAATTCAAAGTGACCTTAACAGATTAGAAATCTGGGCCAAAACTAACCAAATGAATTTCAACACAGACAAATGTAAAATATTATATCTTGGAGTCTTCATGGAGAACAAAGTGAACATGAGCAATCAATGTGATGCTACAGCTAAAAAAGCCAATGGGATTTTGGGTTGCATCAAAAGAAATACAGTGTCTAGATCAAGGGAAGTTATGGTGGCCTTCTATTCTGCTTTGATCAGACCTCACCTGGAATACTGTGTCTAATTCTTGGCACCACAGTTTGAAAGAGGTGTTGACAAGCTGGAAGGTGTCCAGAGGTGGGCAACTAAAAGTATCAAATGTTTGGAGACCATGAATGCCTATGAGGATTGGGTTAAAGAGCTGGGTTTATTTGGGCTGCAGAAGAGAAGGTTGAGAGGTGACATGATGATAGCCATGTATAACTATCTGAAAGGGGGTCCTAAGGAAGAGGGAACAGGCTTGTGTTCTGCTGCCCTGGAGACCAGGTCCCAGAGCAATGGGATCAATTACAGGAAAGGAGATTCCACCTGAACCATAGGAATAACTTTCTGACTGTAAGAGCTGTTCAACAGTGGAACTCTCTGCCACAGAGTCTGGTGGAAGCTCCTTCCTTGGAAGCTTTGAAACAGAGACTGGATGACCATCTCTCAGGGATGGCCATCTGGCAGGAAGTTGGTCTCTTCCAACTCTATGATTCTATGGTATACATCAAAGGTTCCTCATCATTCCACATCTGGAGTTGGGTACCCTGAGCCATGGAACTGGAAATGCAAATGGAATCCCAAAGTATGGCCTTGGCTACCATCTTGTACGTCAGGGCAGATGGCTTTGTGAATCCCGATATAGGGAAAAAGTGGAATAAAAGTGGAGTAAATAATAAAATAGGTTGCAAATGTGTATTTAAGTATGTTATTTACTAACGTGCAAGTTAGACTTAGTGGTGCCATTTTCCAGAAATGAATCAATTTGCGCATTAACCCTTGGAATGTGCTAAATACTATTTCTGCAAGACCAGGGAGTAGACCAGGGAGATAAAATGCTGAGTTAAACCAGAACCCTTTGCTTCCAGAGTATCCTATTGGCATGTATCATATCTGCTAGGAATATCTCTGCAGGCCGGAGCATGTAAGCCTGGTGAAGACCTCTTGACCCTACCTGAGACCAGCTGGCTAGCTAGAATCTCATAAACCAGAGATGTCCAAGTCAGCATCTCATCAATGACCCTGCTCTTCTTTTGCAAACCTGTAGGCCACGTAGATGGCAGAAACAACCCACTTCGAAAAGCTCCGAGAAGAGGATGGCAATCTAGTCTTGCATAAAGAGTGAGACAATGAAAATCTCTCCAACCATGGAAGGCAATAGTCCTGTCCCTGTGAAATGCCAGAGCCTGACAAATGTCAAGGCAATTGAAGGTATATTCAAGATCAGGGGCGGCTCGTCCATTACGCGAAGTAAGCGGTCGCAGAACACTTTTTTTGCTAGGGGCGCAGAGGCGCCTCTGTAAATGCCCCTCGCCCGCCACTTGAGGAGCGCCCCCTCAGCTCACAACAGCCCTAGCAGTCCGGGGGGAGCCTCGGCTTTCTTGCCTCGCTGCCGGGCGATCCTCTTCCCAAAGGGGCCGGGCCCTTGAGCCTTGCCTAGCCCCTCTCGTTCCTGCTCCACCCGGCCACCGGGTGCGCGAGCAGAGCCGGCGCTCAATCGTTCTCCGCGTTCGATCCCTTCCCCATGACCGGCTCCCTTTCCCGATCCCCCGGTGCTCCACCTGCCTCCTCTCCTCTCCCCAATCCGCGGGTGGGCCAAGGGGCGGAGCCGCCGCGCCTGGCCCGCTTCGGGTCCGGAGGCGTGTCTGAAGACCCCAGCATGCGCACCAAAAGTCGCCTCTTCTCCTGACTTTCTCTTCAGCCATTGGGACCAAGAGAGAGAGAGAGAGAGAGAGCCCTCCGGCTGGAGGTATCTCCCACCTCCGCTCCCTCCTTTGTTTTTGCGCCTACCTTCAGGAAAGGTGGCAATCTCCACCTCTCTCTCTCTCTCTCTCTTGGTCCCAATAGCCGAGGAGAAAGTCAGGAAAAGAGGTGATTTTTGGTGCACACGCTGGGGTCTTCAGGCACACCTCCGGACCCAAAGCGGGCCAGGCAAGGGAGCAAGTGCGGCAAGTGTAGTTACTGGGATGTATAGTTCACCTACAATCAAAGAGCATTCTGAACTCCACCAATGATGGAATTGAACCAAATATGGCACACAGAACTCCCACGATGAACAGAAAATATATATCAATGATTGGTTGGGGGGGGGCAAAATACTGTTTGCTTACCACTGAAAATTACCTAGGGCCGCCTCTGTTCAAGATCTAAGGTTGCATCCAATATGGCCTCTAATCTCCAAGCTTACTTACTTAAGCGATTCTTCATAGCTCGAGGATGATGGTCTTCCAGATGTGGTGTCTTGGTGGTGGGTCTGTAGGTAGCTGTGGAGCCCTATTCTTGATCCGCATCTTCTCCCACAGTGAGGATGTCGGTTTCCAGAAGGAAGGCAGTCCCAGTCAGGGTTGGCTTAACATGCCGTCCTCTTGGCACGTTTCTCCCTTTCACCCTCTGTTCATGCCTCTTTGAATTCTGCAGCACTGCTGGTCACAGCTGACCTTCAGCTAGAGCGCTCAAGGGCCAGGGTTTCCCAGTTCTCGGTGTCTATGCCACAGTTTTTAAGGTTGGCTTTGAGCCCATCTATAAATCTCTTTTCCTGTCCTCCAACATTCTCTTTCCCATTCTTGAGTTCAGAGTAGAGCAACTGCTTTGGGAGTCTGTGATCAGACATTCGGACAACGTGGCTGGTCCAGCAAAGTAGATGGTGGAGGAGCATCGCTTCAAGGCTGCTGGTCTTTGCTTCTTCCAGCATGCTGACATTTGTCCGCCTGTCTTCCCAAGATTTGCAGGATTTTCTGGAGGCAGCACTGATGGAATTGTTCCAGGAGTTGCATGTGACATCTGTAGACAGTCCATGTTTCGCAGGCATATAGCAGGGTTGGGAGGACAATAGCTTTAAAAACAAGCACCTTGGTCTCCTTACGGATGTCCCAGTCCTCAAACACTCTGTACTTTATTCGGAAAATTGCTGCACTCGCAGAGCTCAGGCAGTGTTGCATTTCAGTGTCAATGTTGACTTTGGTGGAGAGGTGGCTGCCAAGGGAGCGGAAATGGTCAACATTTTCTAATATTACACCATTAAACTGTATTTCTGGCATTGGAAAGTCCTCACTCAAGAAGCTCCAGATGACAGAAGGAAATCGGAGGAACGGCAACCAGCGGTGAAGGGGAGAAGTGGACAGTTGCGGAGCCCCATTGGGCGCCAACCTGCCGGGTCCA